CATCCTGCAGAGGCTGAGGTCGTTCAAGCCGCACGTGGAGTCGGACGCGGAATCTTCAAGCAAGCGGGCCAAGTTGGCGGATGACATGGTCAGCGTGGTGATCGATGGCTCCGACGAGGCCACTAGTTGTGTGGACTCCAGCGGCAGCGAGAAGGCCTACCCCCCCCTCGGGTCGCCCGAGAAAGCCGAGCCCACGGATGAAGAAGAGGTGGTTGAGCTGGGAAAGGAAACAGCCTGCTACTACGTGAGCATCGTCGGGCGGTCCAAAGTGAGGACCTTGCATAGGCTGGGCGAGTGTCACCGCGTTCCAGGGGTGCACTATCGCACTTTCGATGCGTTCGGAGAGGATTTGCCTCCCCCGAGCGAGTATCATAGGGCATGCAAGATCTGCTTCCCGGGCATAGTTGTGCAGAATCAAAGCTCGGGAAGCGAGGCAGATTCCAGCAGCTCCTCGGACGCCGTCTCCGAGGAGGCCGTCTCGTAACTCAATCTCTGGAGACATGTCTGCTCCCAGAGAAAAGATGGATGTTGTGCGATCTCGTTGGCGGAGAGCTGGCGAGGGTTTGAGTGAAGTGCACATGATCGGCATTAGTAACATGGTGGCAAGTTTGCCAGCATGAGATAAGTCAGGGTCAAGGTCCCCCCCCCTGTTCGTTGGAGGGACCCTGTGTGTGTGTTTCCTGAACTCTCTGTGTGTTGCAATGTTTGGCTTTTAAGGTTCTGCGAGAAGTGGTAGCCAAACCCTGGCAACAGGTCGGACGGTTGGCACTAGATCAGCCTACCCCTCAGGTGCTAGTGCCATGGCCGGCATTGATGATGAAGCTCGGCAGGATGAGCTGATCTCTAAGCTGGACCCCGACTTCGCGGGCCTCCTCGATGTGAAGGAGGTGGAGAAGATCTTGAAGGCAAAGCTGGCCCTGCTGGGCATCAAGACCATCAGTCGGTTCTCGGCAGTGGCCGACACCAGGGAGACCATGAGAGAGTTCACCCAAGCTTCTTTGAGCTTGGATCCTGCCCGCGTGCCAGAGGACATCGTGAAGGTGGCGGCCATGGTGGACACCTGGGAGTCTTGCCGGTCTCGAACAGAGGCCAGGCATAAGGCAGATGCGGAGGCGCTGCTCAACCAGATACCACGGGCAGCTCCCAAGACCGAGGTGCAGGACCTGAGGGCCAAGTTTGAGCAAAGCCTGTACGCTATCGACGACCGTCAGATGCCCTCGGTCAGCACCTTAGAGCTTCAGTTCGACCAGATTGAATCGGGCGAGTACAAGGTCCTCTCCCTCTCCCAGTACTTGTGCAAGGATGACGCGGAGCAGGAGCTCATGGGCGCCACCATCGACAGGGCGACAGGGGCCATCAAGATCAAGAGAGGCGCTCTGGAGATCGCAAAGCCCAAGAACTCGGAGGAGCTGCGGTCCCGGCTACGTCTGGTCGCGCACACATTCATCTTGTGCCAGATTCGCTATCCTCATCAGAAGGTGCTGCAAGGTGCAACCCCTGTGCATTTTCAACGCTATGCAGACCTGCTGCTTGGCGAGCACAGCACGTCTACAATCTCAAGGCAAAGGACTCGGAGGGCGTAGTGGTGGCGCAACCGACCTTCCGCTTGCTGCTGAGCTACGAGTTCAACATCCGGAAAGAAATGGTCAAGAAGCTCAACAGCGGAACCCCTCTGGTTCAGGCTCTGGAGGCGGCCATGGTGGACACCGCCATCAAGGAGCGTTACTTCTTGACGCCTTGCGCCTATGAGGCCCTGCATGTGCCGGGTCACGTCAAGACCAGGTCACGGTCTCGAGGCCGCGAGCATCCGCCAAGGACCTGGAAGGAGTCGACTCCGGCCAAAGGCGGAAAGAACAAGTCCAAAGGCAAGAGCAAAAGCAAGCGGGGCCTCCACGACAAGACCCCGGACGGCCGCGAGATCTGTTTCAAGTGGAACAATCAAGGCTCCAGGTGCCGCTTTGATTGTGGGCGAGTTCACGCCTGCCAGATTTGCTTCGGGAGCCATCCGGCTCACGCCTGCAAGAAAGCCAAGGATACAGCCGGAGAAGGTCCGGCGCAGGACAAGTCAGCATGAAGGGGGCAGCCTCTCGTCGTGCCCCGGGAGGTTGCAGCAGCACAGGGCACAAAGTTGGCTCAAGGGCCACAGTTGAAGTTGCTGTACTTGTTTGCAGGGGCAGCCAGAAAATCCTCAGTGGTGGAGCAGCTCAAGAGCATGTGCGCCCGCAAGGGCATCAGCTTCCACGCCGAGGAAGTCGACATCGAACGCTGTGAGTCTCATGACCTCACCAACGCCAGTTTGCAAAAGAGCCTCCTGGAAGGGATCAGATCCCGCAAGTGGCATGTTGCCATCTGCACCCCGCCGTGCAGCACCTTCTCGCGGGTGCGGGGTGCAAACAAGAACGGGCCTCCTCCTGTGCGAGACGCACAACATTTTTGGGGCTTTCCGTGGCTTTCGGGCCGCAGATCTCAGGAGGTGCAGATCGGCAACGAGCTCGTGCGCTTCACCTGTGAGGCCGGTCTCTCATGTCCCGGTGGCACGAGTCGACTTCTTCCGTATCGATGCCAAGGCCGAGGGGCAGGAGATCGTGCTGGGCGGCTGGGAGTCGTGGAAGGGGCCCACTTCGACGGCCAGATGGTTCTCGGTCCGCCTCAACCGCGAGAACGCACCGTGGGCCTACGCCAAGGGCGAGCCGTTCAGGGCCATCGCCTCTCTTGAGCTCACGGCGGTGCTCTTGGCCACCATGATCTTCGGCAGGGACGGTGGGCTGAAAGAGGCCGGCGTGCACGGAGTGCTATCTGGCTTCACAGACAGCGCGGTGTCGATGTACGTCCTGGACAAGTACATGAGCTGCTCTTTCCCGTTGTCGGTCATCTTGATGGAGCTGTCCGTGCAATTGGAGAAGCTGGAGGTTGACATGATGCTGCGCTGGATTCCCCGTGAGCAGAACATCGAAGCGGATGCTCTGACGAATTCGGCCTTTGAAGGGTTCGATCCGGCCAAGCGCATCAACGTTCGGTTCGAGGACTTCAAGTTCGAGGTCCTCGATCAGCTCATGGGGGAAGCCCAGAAGATGGACAGCGAGATCCGCCTGGTGAAGAGCTCCAAGGAGCGCAAGACGATCGCCTGGTCCGAGAAGAAGGCGGAGGACCAGGTGAAGAAGAGGAGGAAAGGGGAGACCAGGTGGCGAGACCCCTGGTGACGCAGGCGCGAAAAAAAAAAAAAAGGTGGGCCCCCCTTTCTAGGTGGGCCTTCGAATCCCGTTCGGGTCATGTGCGGGTGGACCCCCCATCCGCACTAGGGAGAGAAGTGCGTCCGGGGGGATGAGAATCTACCCTCCGGACTGGATGTGTGGGCCATTGGGCCCTGACAGGCACTGGCGCAATCCACGAAAAGTGAGCGACTCGCAGAACGCTGCCTGCAGTGTTGATGGGGGAGTGGAGTGACAGTGATTAAAGCAGAAGGCGAGAGGTGAAACTGAAAAGTGTGAGAAAATGCAGGTACACAGGGTTGATCAATCCCCGCATCCTAGGAGCTTGCAAAGAGCTTCGTTGGGCAGAGCTTTGCAAGTCCTCTCTGCCCCCCTGCGTGTGCAATTGAATTCCGCAATTCATATATGAGCAAAGGCTGCTCTCCCGCGAAAGGTCTGGGCTTTCACACACACAGCATAGTTCGCGCTTTGAGAGAGCACACTCACATGCGCATTTCAACTCAGAGGTTGCAACAGTTTTTGCATCCGGACAAGGAGCAAACAAAACCCTGGCCCTTCACATATGAAATCAAGATGATGCTCCACGGAGAGTTCTCTTCGCTTTTTCTTTCGTCAACGCATCAGTTGCTGGGCTTGTTTGTCTCATAGGTGAAACCTAACCAGCACTTCCCTAGCTACCTGAAGGATTTGGTCATAGGGGATGCCACGATCCACATACATGGCGGCCAATTGAAAAGGGGCTGCTGTGTGTGTGAAAGCCCAGACCTTTCGCGGGAGAGCAGCCTTTGATCATTTATGAATTGCGGAATTGAAATGCACGCGCAGGGGGGCAGAGAGGACTTGCAAAGCTCTGCCCAACGAAGCTCTTTGCAAGCTCCTAGGATGCGGGGATTGATCAACCCTGTGTACCTGCATTTTCCCACGCTTCTCAGTTTCACCTCTCGCCTTCTGCTTTCAGAAAGCAGGCGCTACAAGGCCTTGTGTTTAGAGTTGCCAAGTTGCTTCCAAATTGCCAAGTCACTCTGTTTGGATCATGCTGGAGTGCCGCAACGCTTCAAGGCATGGAATGCTCATGCTCAGTAAACCTGTTTAGATGCAAGGCCTACATCTGGTACGCACACAACCGCTCGGAACCACATTTCTCATTCTGCAGTGTGTGAGATCACGAAGCCCCAGCTGCTGAAATGACTGGCCCGCCAATCGCCTTCACACGCCTGGCTAGAGCATGCTAGACCACTCAGCCCCACCAGAATGAACCACCACGCAGAACACTTCGATCAGGTTTGCGAAGGAGGCAAGGTGACCCAGGCCTCGCAATCGCTTGACAAAGGTAGCGCGCAGAGCCGCAGAAAACGTTTGCACCCAGCTCCTGCAAGCGCTTTTGTGTTTTTTGTCGTTGATTTTGTTAGATGCTGAGCGCCGGGGACCAGGACGTGTCAAACTACTTGCCTTGCAAGCATTCTCCGCGCCTTTGCACTGTTGCTGGAACCGAATTCACTGCCCGTATTCGCATGGATCGCAGGCTTTCTTTTTTTACGCGGCGTTGGCATCATCCATTTTTTCTAGAGATGGTCCCAGCTATAAAGACAGCTTGCAGTACGTGGTCCATTTGGGAGGGACGGGGGGGAACTAATTACCAATCCACACAAAAACCAGGAGGAGACTCGTTAGCTCTCCAATGTCGTACGGGGGCAAAAAAGTAATTGATCATGGCTCATGACTCGTGACTCTTGAATTTTGTGGTTATCCAACCAAGGTGAGTTGTATTTGTTCTTCCGCGTGCACCCTGGCAGGGTCACAAAGACGGGAAGCCCAGCCTCAGCTTGTTGGAGCTGAAGATGGATCTGCTGTTGTCGCAGTTCGAGGAGGGGTGTTGGCAAGAAGCCAACTCTTTTTAGCCAATGTGTTGTGCCCCCTGTGTGTGTGTGTGAGTCTCTCTCTCTCTCTCTCCCTCTGTATCTCTCTCGGTCACTCTTTCTCTTTCTATCACTCTCTCTCTCTCTCTCTCTCTCTTTTTCTTCTCTCTCTCTCTCTCTCCCTGTCTCTTTCCTTTTTTCATTTTTTCTTTCTCCCTCGCTCGCCAGCACGTCTTGCTGTGATGTTTGTATGTGTTTTTCCCTCGGACAGCACAAACTAGACTGTAGCTTTATAGCATGATCTGATTCCGCGCATGAGTTGAGGAGCACCAACGTCAGCTGACGTCAATGCACGAGCGCCTGATCTTGCTCGCCTCACAGCAACCTGGGAGCCCCCGGCCGAATGTGCGAAGGAGCGGGGAAGGTGTGACGGACATTGGGCTTTGTGGCCCTTTCCCTTGATTTGTTTCCAGGAGTGAGCCAGGCATGCGGCGGAAGTCCCAGATCACGATGAACTCGGGCAATTCTACTCAAGTTATCGAGAAGGTGGGAACCCTGCGGAAGATGGAGTCCCAGTTGTTGCGGGAGCTGGGAGGCAGCTTCTCGAAAGACCTGGCACAATTCAGCAGCTCGGGGCCGACAGAGAAGAGAAAGCGCTCCTCCGTAGCCAGCTTGGTGTCCGTGGACGAGTCCAACGCGACAGAGAGCCAAGCAACCAGCCACATCACCGCAGCGACCAGGGTGCTGGGGTTGGAAAGCCCTCGCATGAGGGCCACAGCGTCCAGGATGGGGGCCATGAACCGCGAGACCCAGACCCACATTTTGCACGAGCACTCCCTGACTGACCTTGAGATGCCCGAGACCGGCTTCGGCTTCCACGTGCTGCGGCTTGGCCATTCCGGAGTCCTGCCAAAAGAAGTTTTCAGGCGAATGGAAGGCCCGCATGGTGCGAAAGCTGAGGCTGCGGCGCAGCCGGCTCATGTGTTTTGCTGTGGCCCTCCCATGGCTGGGCCATGTGGCGGCTTGCATTGCCTGGCCGGCCATGGGGCAGCACCTGCCCATGTCCAGCTTCAACTTTATATCGGCGAATCTGTATGCAGTGCCTTCGCCAAGAGTCGATGGGTTGAGGGTTGGGTCATGTGTGTGGGTTTGGTTTCACGGGAGGTGCTTGCAATCACTTGCGGCCTGATGCTGTCGCGAGCTTTGCACTCCTGCGACATGGTTCTGGCCATTCAGCGGCTACACATGTTCGTGGCTGACTTTGAGGCACTCTGCGGTTGGGCGGTGGCTGGCTTCTTCTCGGCCGTGTGTGGCTGTTCTCATGGCGTGTTCTCGCTGCTGCAGGTGAAGTGGCAGGGAGTGAGCGGTCAGGAGTGGCGGTGCCTTGGCAAGACAGAGGTCTCTTGTCTGACATCGGGAGCCCTGAGCTACAAAGTCAGGAAGTACGCTTTGGCCTGGCTCTTCGTTGTGGGCTTCGAAGCCGGCAGCAGGGCCATGCAGCTGAATCTGGAAGACGCCGACGGCCAGGCAAGGCATCCAAGCTTAAAGGCTTCTGACTCGCCGACAGCTGACACCCGCTGTGGTGCGCAGGCCTGGGTGTACACGACCCACGCGGTGTCCTTGTTGAGCTTTGCGATCTCCAGCGCGGTGCTGTTGCTGGTGGCCTATGTCCAATCGCATCTTCTACTGGGCCTGGACAAGAGCCTAGACTGCTGCTTGGCCTCCGATTTGCAGCATGTTACGTCGAGGAGAGGTGTCCAAAGGGTTAGACGCGTGCTTGGGTTTTTGTCCCACTAGTTCGAAGAAGTGCCAGGGCATGGGGCCTGACTGGGCACAAGTTGTGCAGGCCAGGGAGTGTGGCCTCAAAGTTTGTGCAGCTGCAACAAGGGAAACATATCTAATTGCACATGGTACCGAACGTGCCATACATTTCGGGATGGTGTGCGAATGATGCAGCGCATTCCGGGCGAACCGGGCACAAAGAACCAACGTGACAGGACTTACGCACACCCTATAGCTGCGTTCTAGGGCATGTAGGCGGCGTGAGGCTGGTGCTTCCAGATTGTGAACTCTCCGGACTTTGCCCTGGGCGTTCAGAACTGGAATGCCATGCAGGCTGGGGGGCTGGGGATTCTTGGCTGCGGCTCACTGAGCGTATTTTTGCGGCAGGCGCTCCTGAAGTGCGTGAGCCGCGAGCTGGAGGGCAGCTTCCTGGCTCTGCAGTCGCTGGCCTGCCTGGGCTTCATCTTCTTCATCGGCTGCAGCATCACCTTGACCTTCGGCACCGACTTTCAGGCGCGAACATCTGAAGAGACTCTCTGGGGCTTTGGTGTGAGCGAGGTGCTTCCCGTGTGCATCGAGCTGCTCCACGCTATGCCGCTGCCCGTCCTGTATTTGCTCAGCATCCGAGTCTGCACCTTGCCTCGCAGATGAGTCACTGGCGTGACATGCCGCCCCTTGAGCCAAAGCTCGCCACGAGCATCCGCACGTTATGAGGCGCGCACGGCGCCTCGCTCACGGAGAAATCACGCTCAATCCCGGCCTTCGTCAACCAAATCCCGACCAGGAACTGCATCAACCAAGAGAGATCCTACTTGGTGAGGCTCGCAATCCACTGGTTTGCGCTGGTTGAGTTTCATGGATGCCTTTGAACACATCCCGGCAAGCTCCGCAAATTTTTCTCGGCAGCTTCGCCAGGTTCATCCTGGACAGCTCTGCGGGCTTCTCGGTGCGGGATGTGAAGTTGACCCAGGAGCTCTTTATGAAACAGGTGGGTCTCCTGGCGGCTCTCGTCTCAGGTATCGTGGGTGTCTTGTCCAGGGTCTATGTGTAGATCTTGAGGGCGCATAAGCACAGGGCCATCCAACAAAAAGTGCCTCTGCGCCTCTTTCTTCTTTCTGCAGCGCCAAATTCTTGTGGCCGTTGGGTGGCCCTGCAATAGATTAGATTTAGGGAGTCGGGCGGGCAGGGAGCACTGCTCCCCCGTCACTGTTCGGCTGACAGGTTGGCCTCGCCCGAGCGGATGTTTATGTAATTCAGAGAATTCCTATTTTTGTGGCTGACGGAGACCCGGTGCCACCACTGCATGCATTGCCAGAATTCTGGCCAGTAGGTCTGCTGAAGCAGAGCCTTTCCACTGATTTGGAGGCCCAAAGCTGGCGCGCTTGGTTGCTGGCCTTAAGACATGCATGCATGCATGTGCGCGCACACACACACACACATCTACATATGCACAGGCGGACGCCAGTCCGTGCGTCCGTCCGTCTGTCCGTCCGTCCGTCTGTCCGTCCCTACCTACCTACCTACCTACCTACCTACCTACCTACCTACCTACCTACCTACCTACCTACCTACCTACCTACCTACCTACCTACCCACACAGACATACATACGTTTTGGACCGCGCCTACCTTTCATACCTTCATCTTACCTCCACTCGTCTCAGAAGTCTTTGGGATCCACCTCTACGCCTAGGAAAGAACGACAGTAAGATGCTCACCCGACGGTCATGCCCTTCGTTTGCATCTAGCCACGTGTAAGGTCCTAAAAGTCCCCGGCGAAGAGGCTCTTCCCTCGAACTCGCCTGCAGCTTAAATCAGATTGAGATACTGCAAATAGTCCTCACTCCCTCATTCATGCCTTTCTTCTGCCCACTTCTTTGTGTTCCACATCCTTCATCACGCATCACGCATTCACACACACACACACCTGCACACCAGATAGTTAAAACAGATGGGGTAGGTCGATAGATACTTGCCAATGAGCTGCCTGTCTTACCTGCTTACCGGCTTACCTACTTTCCTGCCTGCCTGCCTGCCTGCCTACCTACCTACCTACCTACCAGTCTCGCGCAAGTTTGAATCATCCGCGCTGTGTTGCGATTGTGTGAGGCAACTCCTTCCCAAAGCGGCCTGGCACATCAACCTGGCTCAAGCTGAGCTAGATGTGTGCCCATATGCTGACGTTCTGGAAGCTTTGCCACCCGCACCAAGCCGCAGCCGCACACAAAACACGAGACTCCGCGTCAAACCTAAGATTGGTTTGCCCGACTCGCGATTCTGCTTGCCCGACCGGATGGCGTCCGGCACGAAAGCGGCGGTGGCGGCGTTTGCCCCCCAGGTGGTGTGGTGGTTCCCGTCTGCGTCGTGCACCGCTGCCATGTGTGGCAATGCCTCAACACTCAGGTGCTTCGTGTTGGTGACCGTTCTGATCACTTATCGCTTTGCCGACCACCTGACAAACTTGGCACCGTCGGCCGTGCTCACTTGGGGCTTGGTCTCGCGAGGAGAGAGAGAACACTTGCCAAATCCAGCGTGCATATTGGCTTGTTTAGCTTCCTTTGGTTCTGCCAAATTTAAGGCCGATTCGGGCTGTTGTGTCCTGGGTTGCACCTTTTTCAGAGCCCACCGCTGGCTGCAACAGTGGTCGAAGTCAGGACGAGAGAGACACTACGTTCTGATACTTGGTTCATGTGGCTAGCTGAGAAGCTAATACCACGAAGCTAGTATCTGTTGGATTGCGCCTGAACGCCTCTAAGTCGGAATCCATGCCAAGCAGCTTGTTGCTTCAAGGCTTGTCTCCCTGCGCAAATGCTGCAGGAATTGGTTTGGTGCACATTGTCGTGTTTGCTTCTTTCGATGGTCAAGTCAGCACCTCAGTGCCGTGAATGTGCTTCGACGCGACGTTTTGCTTTGAGCCGAACGCGACGCCTCGCTTCAGCTGACCCCGAGAGGTAGTTCCGCTCTGCGGGAAGAAGGGTGTCACCCCCGTGGCGCAGTTCTTGGCGCAAGTCCGAGAGGCCCGTGGCTTCGTTTGCGGGCTGGGGTCGGAGCAATTTTATCTGCTGCCTGCAGGACTTCCCTGGACTGAAGAAATGGGCCTACTTTCCGCCCCTCGACCCAATCCTTGAAGGTGGGAGATTCGATCGCGGGGGTCAAACTCAGGACTTTGCTGTGGCTGGGTGACAGCGACGCCATCCTTCAGCTTACAAATCGTGCAGGCAGGGAATCGCCGATTGCACCCTCCCTCCTGACCCGCCAATGAAGCGAGTCGCTTGAAATTTGGCCCGGTTGGACTGGACTGTTGGAGGTCTGATTGGTGGCCTGCTGGCTATCTACGGTGGCATCTTTGGCTGGCTGGGACTGTTTTTGTCGCGGCTCGCGCTGCAGTCATTGGCGGTCACTGGAGCGAGGGGAGGGCTGGGGATGCTGGGGACAAAAGGCCAGCTTGGCAAGACCAGACACGTTCTGAGGCAAGTCAGGGCCAATCGTGGGTGGGCGGTAGCTATGGAGGGTTTCACATGAATTTGCGTGAGTAGTTGGTTGGTTGAGGATGGTCGCAGCTCCGGGTAATACGGGCAGTGCGACAGGAGAGTTCTGGTTCGTGTGGGACTACATGGTCTTCGAGGCAGATGGGGACAAACTACCAAACGTGTTTGCCGCATATCCTTGGCATCTTTGCAGAAGCCGCATGCTTTGAGCTCTTCGATCCTTGGTTGAGGGTTCTTGCCCTTTCTTGACTATTGGGTTGGATGTTTAGACTTTAACTTTTTGGGACATCAAGGGGTTTTCTACTAACTCCCCATTAAAAAAAACAAAACCTTTTTGCAGGGGGGTCAACAGCAACCAAGCTTTGGGGCAATGATCCCCGTCCAGGCTGGCGCCCTGGTGCTGCTGCTTCCCCAGGCGCTGCCGCTGCACGCGGGCCTCGGGGCCAGCCACTTGCCAGTGCCCTGCGTGGCGTTGGCGTGGCAGCTGCTGGCGATTCGCCTCATGCGCCTCGGTGAGGGCGCGTAGCGGCTTTTTGAAGGTCAGTCGTGGTTGGGCGTGCCTTTTTTTTTCTTTTAATAATTATGTGTTTTTAGTGGGAAGGCTGGGGCTGGAGGTTGGGTGAGGCTTAGCCGAAATGAAGCGAAGTGCAAAAGGAACTTCCGCAGAAATTACCGGGAAAAATGAGATAGCTGTCTCTAAGAATGCAGGCACCCGCACGTGATCTTTAAGACTAGACGCACTGCACTGAACTGGGGAATGGAGGTGGGCCTGAAACGTGGCCCTGTGCATTAATTCGGTTAGTCTCCCGCATGTGGGCAAGCCACCTCGGTCGACGACAACCTTCAAGCATCACTGTAGTCGCGTTTTCACAATTTCCACAGCAACTCGCGCAACTCCTTGCCGAATTTCGGCGCAACGTGTCTTTCTTAGGCTTTCAGCTCGCCCAGCCATCAGAATGTGAGCCCTCTGCGGACTTTCGGCGGGTCAACCCAAAAAGCTAATTTTGTGTTGGGGTTTTCGCTCGCAGAGCCTTCTTGAGCCTTTTAGTGCTTTTGTGGGCTGGAGAGGGGGAGAGGGAGACAGAGATAGAGAGAGAGAGAGAGAGAGCGAGCGAGAGAACGAGAAAAAGACACACACACACACACACTCAGTAGGCAGCATCGCCCCAACTTTGCGCGCAACCCGTTTATATAGCATTTGCCCATCAGAATTCGCCTTAAGATGTCAAAGCGATACTGTGACAGAGTCGTCGCTGCCATACAATGATCTATATATTGGGAAGCCGCCCCCAGCCCCATGGAAAGTGCAGTTTGAAGCTCAGTGTCTTGACCAGGTTGGGCTTCGCCAAAACCAAGTTTAGCAATGCAAATGTCGCAAAGGACTGGCTCTCACTGCATGTCATTGAGGGGCAGTTCGGTTTTGGGGTTCTTTTTTTGCGCGGCGCGCTCGTGAGGATAATCTCTTTCTCCAGGGCTTCTTCGTGTGGCAGCTGCTCCCAAACAAGCTGGCGTGGCAGCTCGGGGTCGGAATGAGTTGGCCTTCTCTTTTTTTTGTGGGTTTTTCTGTGGGCTTCTCCAGGCTGGGTCTGGACCCAGCCTCCGCCGGAGGCACTTGCACCACGCGCCGCTTTGGATTCTTCGCGCTTTGTATGGCGGGATGATTTACGTGGAGGTCGTCCTGCCGTTTTGCGGCTTCTTCTCTGGGGCTCCCAGGTGCTTCGGTGCTTGGGGCCTGATTCTTCTGATGTTCGGCATCTTCTTGACCGGCAACTGGGGTCAGTTCAATATCGGCCACTCGGCTTAGCTTGCCGACTCATGTGCCATTGTCGCTGGTGCTGCGAAGGCTACGCCCTCGTCTGTGTTGGCCTTTTCGATTTGGAGATTCAGTGGTCTTTCTCCACCTTCTTTAGCGGCTCTTGGCTTCTGCCGCCCCTCATGTTGGCATCTTGTCCGCAACGGCCGGCACTCAGGACACGTTGACGCAAGGCCGCATTCAGCGCATTCCAAAAAAAAATCTGGGCTGGTCCTCAGGTATATGTTTTTATCAGCTTGATCAACGGCCTGTTCGATACCTGGACCAACACCAGCTGGCCTTGGTTCAACTGGGAGATCATACCTGGCTTTGAGCTTCACGGCTTGTGCCTTGGCCTTGGGGACGGGAAAAGGTATGGCCTGCGGCCGTCCTGTTGGCGACGTCGTGTGTGCGACAGGATTGGCCTCGTCCGCCTTCTGGCCCCCTTCCGCCTGATCAACGCATACGGCGTGTTCCCACCAGAGGCCCTTCCGCATGCAGCAGCCTCAGGTCCGGCCCTATCCAGTCATCAGATGGTGCTGTTGGCCACCACGTCATGGGTTGAGGAAGGCGCAGGGTTTTGGGAAAGGTCCGGAGCTCTATGGTGTTCCAGGGCAGCAATGACGGAAACTTGGCCGCAGCATGGGCATGCGGGTTCCTTGTGCATAGGAGCCTCGTGAATGCGATTCCTTTTCGGAGCTCGTGGGAGCTGTGCCTGGGCATTGGGAACAAACTATAAGCACTTGCAGAGACACTTCCACTTCCAGGTCGGCCAAGACTCGTCCGTTGCCGTTTCGGCTTGCAACATGCGACAGCGAGATCTCCGAAGAAGTTGGACATGGATGACTCGCCTGCATTGACACCGGACATGGGCGAAGCTCCCGAAGCTCCTGCAACTTGTGAGGAGCGGCCGGGTTTCACCGAGGTCGAACCTTCCAAAAGGCCGGTGAACCAGAAGTCTGCCTCACAAACCCCAAGTCCTTTCGAGCCACTGGTTTTCCAGGGTTTGCTGAACAGGTGCTTCTCCCCTTCTGGAAAATCAAAGGCCAAGAGCAAGGCTCGTGTCTCGCTCGCAGTTCGCGCAGGATTCGGATTTCGAGAGTGTGAAAATAGAGCATGCAACTTGTCACGAAGCTTCTGGGAGATCAGCGTATCCGATCTATCCTGACCGTCCTGACCTTTTCCCAGTCTTGCCTTTTTATATTTTTCAATAAACGTGGCTTGAGCTTGGAGACATGCATTGCCTGTTTTGCAACTGGCACGTGCAGGAGCTGGTTGAGTCACCAAGGGGTGCAGGAACTGCACAGCCTGGGCGTATTTTCGAAGGAGTCTTGGCTTCCTGTAGCAGTCTGATTTTTCAGCTGGTGCTTCACTGCCGCGTGTAGACATATTTTTGAACATCAAGTCATGAATGGAGCCACATTTGTCTGAAAGGCTTTACCAAGGTAGCCCGGACGCAGAGTGCTTCAGCAGCAGTGCGGTATGTGCCCTGCTGGAAGAGAAGCACCGAGAGGTCGTGAAGAAGCTGGATCGCCAGACACGTTTGCTGCTGAACATTATGCAAAACCCGGGCAAGTTCAAGTTTCAGGAGCGATGGACATCCCTAGTCGTTTGGGACGGAGAAGTTGCGAATCCGAACTGTGCAGGACATCGAGCCTCCTCGATCCTCCGTGTCAAGTGGGGCTGGTATCAACTCTGCCTCCGTGAGCCTGGACAGAGAGCCAGTCAGGACCAGCCTGCACACACCTGCAAGTTGCTGCCAAGTTGGCCCTGTCCAGGTTTGGCCCTTGCCTCGGCCTGCATGAATCCATATTTTCATTTGGAGTTTCCCTCAGGAATTCCCGGCGGCACAGCTTCAAGCCGCGGACGACGTCCCGGCCGTCCTTCACTCCTGGACCCCAGCTGTTTAAGACATTCTCTCAGAGCGAAATGACTCGGCGGAGCGAGGCCCAAGCAGCCTCCACTCGGCGCTCAGCGTCCATGGTATCTGGAGTCACTTGGGTTCAGGAATCCGAAGAGCGCTGGTCGCAACGCATGGTGCACAGCACTTCTTTTGACTTGTTCTTCACCGGCATAGTTATCATGAACTCGATCTTTGTGGGAGTGGAGATGCAGCTCAGCGTTTCCTTCCCCAATGACAAGTTCGTGGCTGTGCAAGTCGGCCAATACATGTTTGCCTTCCTCTTTGGCATGGAGCTATTCTTTCGCGTCCTTGCTGACCGCATGACCTTTTTTTGCGGGGAGGACTGGGCTTGGGCGTGGCTGGACATATTCATCGTCTTTTCCACACTCTGGGAGGTTGGCTTGGATTTCTTATACTACCTGTCTGGTCAAGATGGCCAGGCCAGCGCTTTGGAAAGCGTGTCGGGCCTAAAGGCTTTCCGAATTATTCGACTTACCCGCCTGGTCAAAGCAGTGCGCTTGGTTCGCATCCTGCGGTTTGTGATGGCCTTCCGCATGCTCATTGCATCAATCCTGAACACCCTGAAGTCCTTGTTCTGGGCCTTGATGCTGCTGGCTCTGATCGTTTATGTGTTTGCTGTCCTCTTCACTCAAGCAGTAAACGACCATATGCTCGATCCAGAAGCACCGGAACTTTCGCCAAAAGACGAAGAGGCGGGCCGGGAAATGTGTCCGCGCATTGCTCCGATTCTTTCTTGAAACCATGTAAAGCAAATAAAGGATAGGGGAAGTACAGCTAGATTGTTTGAGATTAAAGTTAAGGCCGTATTTTGCTGCACCGCTCGCTGAACATGTTCATGGTGCATTCCATTGCATTCCATTGCATTCCATTGCATTCCATTGCATTCCATTGCATTCCAGTGCATTCCATTGCATTCCATTGCATTCCATTGCATTTCATTGCATTTCATTGCATTCCATTGCATTTCATTGCATTCCTTTGCTTTCCTTGGCATTCCATTCCGTTCCATTGCATTCAGTGGCATTCCACTGCATTCCGTTGCATTCTATCGCATTCCATTGCATTCCATTGCATGCCATTTCATTCCATTGCATTCCATTCGGTTCCATGTCATTTCATGGCATTCCATCACATTTCATGCCATTCCATGGTATTCCATTGAGTTCTATTACTTGCCATGTCTTTCCATGGTATTCCATTGCATTGCGTTCTATTACATTCCATGGCATTCCATGGCATTCAATGGCATATCAGCACATTTCTCTGTATGGCATTCTATCACATGGCATTGCATTCCAGCAGTGTGTGGCATTTCATGGCATTCGATGGCATTCCATCGCATTCCATCGCATTTCTTTGCATTTCATTGCATTTCACAGCACTTCATGGCATCCCATTGGGTTCCATTGAATTTTATGCTGCCTCGATTTATTCTATCGTGCGTCTTCTGTCCTTGGCAGAAGCAATCACAGGCATGCCCCAAGCGCTCAAAGCAAAACGACAGCACTCGCAACCACTGGCAGAAGTAATGCAAGTACAAGCAACACACAAGATAGGTTCAGCCATGCATGAGGAGGGTGGGGTGGGGTGGGGATCCGGGTGCATGAAACAATGTGTCCATACTCTCATTGTCACACGGACTGAGAGTATTTTGCCGGAGGTTCCAAAGTTTGCTCTAGATAATATGTAATAGTGCTTTAACTAGCGAATGGAATAATGTAGAAAAACGGAAGTAATAAAGCCTTGAATGAATTGTAGCATGTTGAACTTGGTCTTGTTCATTCCAAAGATGTTTTGTCTGCATCTTGTCATATCTTCATTTCTTCCGTTCATCTCATTTTACAAGAGGGGGATGGAATGGCGACCTTTTGTCATTGTAAAGTCTATCAATGGGATGAAGATAGGTAAGCATACTTCTCAATATGTCTTACATAGTTGTCTGTTTCTGGTTTCGTATTGTTGTATTACTCCCTTCCTTCAGAACTGTTTTTCAATTTTGATCTTTTGTTTCATGATCACCATTATGAACCACAAGTTCATCTTGGTCATGTCTCTTCTCCGATTCAACGTTGTAATCACAATGGCTTGGTAGGGGGCAGACTGGGGGAGTGAGTGAGCATAAGAGATGGGACTAGTATGATGCACTTTCTAGTCCTTCATCGCTTCACAGCTGTTCAAGAGCTGAGATGAGAGGAAGAGACTTATATCATTCCTCTTTGAATTATTCCATCATGTTTTATCATGAGTTTGTTGTCCCTTCCCGCTCTCTGTTTCCCGGTTACTCCTTTGAATCTTGGCGAATTTGAGAGATTGTGCCATCTCTTTCCCTTTCCTATTGCTCACATGCATCGCGATGCAAGGGAGGGAAAGGACACGAAGAATGCCATGCCGTCCCTCCATTCACATGTTTCACATTGTAAGTACAGGGACGGGATCCTTTCCTTTGCTCTCTCCTTGCTCCTTTCCCGTCGTTTGCTCCCCAAAGAAGAACGCAATTGTCTCCATCAATCGATGGCTGTGTTAGCTGCTTCCGGTTTAAGGAACTGGTAAGGAACTGGCAAGGAACTGGAGGCATCTACCATGATAGAATAATGCTTCCACAACAGGCTGAGCTGCGTCATGAGGGCAGCTTTAAAAAGTGGAGAAAGAGACAGAGAGAGAGAGGGACGTTAAAATCGGAGTCACAATTACTACAAGTGCAAGTGCAATGCAGCTGTTGTTAACATAAACAAATGTAGTCTGTTGCGGCCTTTTGTTTTCTCCAGGTGTAGTCGGGCTGAGACTCAAGGCCTGCGGTAGTATACATACATGCAACACAAATGCAAGTGGCGAAGCATGTAGTTTGACGCCCCTCAGTTAAAAGTAGTATCTTTCAACTGGAGTGGAAAACAAAGGATTGCCAGTAGTGATAAAAAAAACTATTGTTGTTCATCCATGCTACTGAGTGAAAAGAAAAGAGGTGTAGTCCTCAGTAGCTCACGCTGTGCAGGTTTCAGTCCAGAATGTAGTCGGACTGAACGGAGTTGGTGAGGAAGCACTTGTAGTTGTGGCCAAGCCAGTAGCTCAGGCATGTAGTCCCCAATGTTGAAGCCGGTAGGTGCGTACCTGCTCCAGTCGGTGGTTAAGTAGTTGATCACAAAGTGGTCGGTGAAGTCCGGTGCACCACGTAGTCGATTGTCGTCGACCTCTGGTGGTGCTACCTGGTGTTGGTAGTTGCGGAGGTAGTTGTGAAGTTGCAGTCTCTGTTGTGCGGTGAGGTCTGTCATTGTGAGTAGTGTGAATCCATAGTAGTGGATGCTTTTGCAAAGGATTGTCGTGATTGCCTTGTTGAAAGTCATGTAGTTGTTCGTGGTTGTTGAGGTAGTGAAGTAGGTCAGGTAGGAACAAGGGCATGTGGTAGTTCCAGATGTAGTTGTTCTTCAAACTGTAGATCTCAGTGAACCTGCCCATGTCATAGTCCACCTTGTAGATGAGTTGTGAGTGTTGTGAGTTGTCCTGAGGTAAGGTACCTCAAAGTAGTTCTTGCTCAACATGCAGCCTGACAACAATGTAGTTGTCATTGTGGCTTGTTGTGGTGTGCAGTGATGTCGTGTGGTAGTAGTGCACGTTGCATGCCTCTGCAAGTGTGATGCTGAGCAGTGCAGAGTTGTAGTGGGGCATCCTCAAATCACCTGGGATGCACCGTAGCGGTCGTGTGAAGTC